CAGAACCAGGAGGGACTCATCCGATGAGGGCACGTCTCTCTGGTCCCATGGATTCCTGGCACTCTGGGGGGCTGGGGCTGGGGCACAGAGGGAGAGGACTGAGCAAGGACCTTTCATTCAAGAGGGTCTGGGAAGGTACTGCTCAGGATCCATATGGGAAAAGTTGATCTTTGACCCCTGTGAGGACACATACACACACACACACACTACCTGGCGCAATGGCATTCTGCCTTATGCTGACACCTTTAGCACCCAAGCGAGTACCGCAAAGACCAGGACTGAGGGCCGAGAGAGAAGCGAAGGAGAGTGTGTGTGTGCATGTACGTGTGAGTTCCCACAGGCATGTGACCTGTGGGTCAACGACAACGACATCATCGCATGCTGATACTACCTAATCTGAGCTCTGCTACCTGGTGCCGCTCAGACAGGATACATGTCAGAGCGGTGGGGTTGGGCTGCCTCTTGATATCTCAGTATCTGTAACCGCCCATCGCTGATGTCCTTCATCACCTTCTCGGGGTCACTAGGACGACTGCTTCTCCAATGATGCAGCCAATGGGGGAAGTCTGTTTGGGACGAGGGCCATTTGAGAGAGCAAATCTCAAGGTAGACAGCCCCTAGCCATTCATTTACACCCCGCCCCTGGGAGTTAGCATCCCTCAGCCCATCAATAGCATCCCTCCAGCCTTCAGTGCAGGGGCCGCCAGCTCTGTGGCTCTGACACTCAAGGGCCCATTGTTCCATCCTTCGATCCATCCACCCACCTACCGTTCATTCACCTATGCAACAAATACTTCTGGCACACTCGCTGTGGACTAAGCCCAGTGCTGGGACAATGCCAGCTGGTTTGTCCTTCTCCTGATGGTGTCCGAGTTTGTCCTCCTGCATCTTCTTCCCTCCATACCTTGGGGCGGCACAGGACAGCCTCCTGAGAGGGTACCGCAGGCTGTATGGACTGTCGGTAAACTCTTCTCCAGAAAGGTTTTTGGGGAGAACCTGGTCAGGATTTTCTCCCAAGCCATTCCTGGTGTGGCTCCAGATGCCAACAGCATAATGTGGAAGGTGACGTGGACTCTTCCTCAATTCGGAAATGTCCAGTAACAGGCCAGCGGGCGAAGACAATCCAGTGGCTTCTCCCCTCCATCTGGTTGTGAAGCAGTCCGGGGGGGAATCGCCATCCAGGCCTGTCTGAACTTAATAAAGATCAGACCAACTTCTTCCTACCTTAAAAAACAACAACAACCAATTTTAATAATTCTGTATTAAATTTGGTTTATTTTTCTGATGTAGAAGGAAGACAAAAAATTCTGTTTGAACCCACTGCAAACATTGGGTTTTACAAATGATTACAAAAATCTTTTTTGGTGGTGGTGGTGTTTCTGGCCAAGCGGCCCGGGAACCCTTGGGGATGGAGCCCTGTGGGAACTGTATGTGGGGGCCGTTCACCTCCCCCTCTCCGACCTCGTGGAGCCTGGCTGGAGTTCCCTTCCGGAGACAACGTGGCAGATGGTGTGGGAAGGGCCGAACCTGGATCTGGAGGGGAGTCAAGTCTGGTAGACAGATCCTAAGTCCAGGGGGTTGGCTGCAGGCAGCAGGTGGCAGCCTGGGCCGGTGAGTGGCATATGGGAGGGCTGACAGGGAGCCAGCAGCAGGTGTTCCAACAGCTGGCAGGGCCAAGGTGAGGAGTTCAAGGCTGGTGATATTCAGAAATGCAGAAAAGTACTAGTGGGGACATTTGCCAGCTGGGGGGCCCGTGAGGGCAGGGTGTGACCTAATAAACTTGAAATGAAAAAGACAGAAGAGGACTGGCAGCCAGAAGGCCCCTGGGCGTGCTGTGTGTCCTTTGTGTGCCCATGAACCTCTCTGAGCTTCACTCAGTCCTTCCGAGAAATGAGGACAATGCTGTCTATGCCTCAGAGTCATGGTGGGGACCATGTCCCACCGAAAGAAGTCGATGCCCCTCGGAAGAATTGCTAAAGAACAGGAGGAGCCTATTCTTGGGAGGAAGAAGGTATCGAGAGACTGATGGCTTCAAGGGCACAGATCGAAAGGACATGGCCCTAATGGGGCTCCCACTAGGCACATTTGAGATAAACTGAGCCAATGAAGACGGTGCTGATGGTGGGTGAGAACGCACTGGGTTAAAAAGAAGGTGTACCGTGACGCAGAGAAAGAGAGATGGGGCGATATCCGCAGGGTGGGAGAAAATGCACGCTGTCTCCCAGGGTGGAATGCCATCTGAGGAATGTAGGCTGAGTGATGGAGCTAGACCATCATTATTTCGCAAGACTTATATCATGACCGATTAAACCTGCTGGGGAACAAGACAGTCACAATGTTCAGGTCTCACCTACAGGCTGGTCTCCTGTGACGGAGCAGGAAAGGCCCAGAGCACAGATGTAGAACTCTTGTCTAGATGGACACACAGTCGTAAGGATGGGGAAGCAATCTGGCAAGTCCAAGTTGTGGGACAGGCTATAAACTCCATTCTATAAACTCTTTAAAAGCCAACATTCTGAATGGCCACAAGTTGCTGGGGTCTATTCTAGATCACTTACTGTCATCGAGCCGATGATGGCTCAAAGTGACCCAGTAGGACAGGCTAGAACTGCCCCTGTGGGTTTCCCAGGCTGTAACTATTCACCGAGGCTGAATGCACCATCTTTCTCACATATTCTACATTAAAGGAGGACAGAACTAGGTGACAACCACATGCAATGTGTGATCCCGAATTGGATCAGCAAAGTTAAAAAGCCATAAACCTTTTGAGGACATTAGGGGACATTGGAACATGGAGTGTCGGTTAGATCATGTTATATCAGTTTCTTGGACGCGATGAGGAAACCATGGTTATGTAGCAGAGGGTCTTTGTGCTTGGGGTGGACACGCTGAAGTCCTTGGGGGTGACGTGATGTGGGCCTGCAACTATTTTTCAAATGATGAACAAGGATAAAAAGGGCATCCTGGGTCCCTGGGTGGTACAAGTGGCTTGCAGTTGGGTGTTTACCTAAAGGCTGGTCTTGTGAACTGACCCAGCCCAGTGCTGAGGAAGAAAGACGTCTGTCCAGGTTACAGCCACGGAAAGCCTAGGAAGCAGTGCCACTCTGTAACGAAAGAGGGAGGGCAGCACGGACTGGGCTCAAACGCATTTTCTTTTCTTTTGTCAGTTTTGTGCCTGGATGGTGCAAACAATGGATGTGCTCACCAGCTGAGCAGAAGGTTGGAGGTTCAAATGCACTCAGGTGCCTCGGAGGGAAGTTCTGGTGTGGATCCAGGCCCACAGTCGAACGGGTCCTTAGGAGCAGCGTGTGCGATTAAGGGAAAATAAATAAGACAGAAAAGAGGGGCTTGTCTCCCACGCTGGAATCGAGAGAGAGCCAGCTTATTAGCAGGCGTATGTATAGTAACGAGGTGTGCGAGCCTTCGTCAGGCACATAGACAATAGATTGGGTCAAGCGTGAATCTGAGAAATCCTGAAATCTTTCAGAACACCTCAAAAGAAGTGTCAACAATAGTGCCAAATGGGACAATCGCTCTTTCACAGTGCTTCTCCACCTTCCTGATGCTGCGACCCTTTCATACAGTTCCTCAGGTGGTGGTGACCCCCAACCATCACAGTATTTTTGTAGCTACTTCATCCCTGTCATTTTGCTACTGTGAAAGGGTCGTTCGACCCCTGAAGGAGCCGTGACCCACAGGTTGAGAACCGCTGCTCTGTAAGAACAGTAGCCAGCAGCCTCCGCCGTTTTCAGAGGTATGCATCTTCTTAACAGTGTGTGTGAGAAACCAGGCGTACGTACGTAGGAAGTAACTTACCGTATCAGAGAGAGTACATGCCGAGAGCCTGTTTGCTAGAGAGTGATGTACATCTGGACTTCACTGCAAGCACCAGGCATCTAACAGACAAAGGATAAAGACGCCGACTCCCAGCTCCCTAAGACGGAAGGACCTTCGCTGCTTTCAAAATAGAACATCTCACAGCCAAGAAGGGAGACGCCCTTGACGGCCGCTTAAAGGAGGGCAGCTGTGGAGAGAGCGCTTTCTCCTGCAGAATGCGTGTTGGGTTTTCTCTCTCTCTGGGAATTGTGCTGCAGCCGCTCTTCCCAGCCCCGCGGTCACGCGTGTGGAGACCAGCCGAGCACACTTTCGTCCAGGCTCTCAGCTTCCCAGTCTGGGGATCGCCTTTAGGACAACGCGCCGCCGGAAACCTTAAGTGTTTGCTGTGATGCACACGGAGTCGCCTGGCTCTTGTCTGCACAGCCCTGCATGGGGACTCCTTTCTTCCTGAGCCACGAAGCCTCCCTGCCCCCTGGGCTGGCTGCTGGCAAAGGGCCCCTCTTTCCTTCTCCAGAAGCTTCTTGTGGGGGTGCCCTGAACCAGCAGAGCAGCACAGAGGTTCGGGGTCTCTCCTAGCCCCTGGAGGGGGGGGGGCTGGTTCCTGGCCTCACCCCTCCCAGGAAAGGAGGCAGAAAGCGCTAAGTCACCAGACAGAGGTCCTAGAGACTCAAGGTGGAGTTCCCGGTGACCCTGGGCAAGTTCCTCAGGGTGTCCAAGGCACCACTCGATCATGCTGTCGATGGAAGAAGCTGCCCTTGAATGAGATGCACTGGGAGCCCAGGGAAAGCGTAGACATGAGTCTGTCCTTCGCATTCTCACTTCCGTACACTGGGCAGGCTGCGCCCACGACGAATTCTGCTGTTCGGGGGGTCGCCATGAGTCAGAACAGGTGCCACAGCATCCACCCCTCCCCCCTCGTCCATCCCAGTCTCATTCCTGGGGAACACAACTGGGGTCTGTTCGATGATGAATGCGGGTCTGTCCTGTTGGCAGCCAGCTGCCTTGTAGGTAGGAATCTACACCTGGATTTGGAGCGGACCACTCACTGTCTAGGGGCCACGGGAGGGGTGAGCTGCCTGAGATGGGGGAGGGATGTGGTTTGGGGTTCTGGAGCCCCTGGAGGAAGCACAAGACCCCCACCTGTTCTGCCTTCCCCCACCCAGGCCCATGAGCGGCTGGAGGAGACCAAGCTGGAGGCGGTGCGGGACAACAACCTGGCGCTGGTGCAGGAGATCCTGCGGGACCTGGCGCAGCTAGCCGAGCAGAGCAGCACCGCAGCCGAGCTGGCCCGCATCCTCCAGGAGCCCCACTTCCAGGTTTCCAGGGTGGTAGGGGTGCAGCGACCGAGCGGTCGGGAAGTTGGAGCTGGGGTGAGAGTTGGGTGGCTAGGGACCTCTGGGCGCTGTTTCATTGCCCTACCCGCCCCCACCCGCCCCCCAATACCTTTCCAGTCACTCCTGGAGACTCACGACTCCGTGGCCTCAAAGACCTATGAGACTCCGCCCCCCAGCCCCGGGTTGGACCCCACATTCAGCAACCAGCCTGTGCCACCCGACGCCGTGCGCATGGTGGGCATCCGCAAGACGGCTGGGGAGCATCTGGTGAGCTGGCGGGCAGCGAAGGGGCGCTGGGGAGCACAGCACAGTCGCAGCATCAGTTGGGGGAAGCTGGTTGGGAGAGGGCTAGAGAGGAGCCCACCCTGTGCCCGCGAGCATATCCACAGGCCAGGGCGCTCTCCGCTGCCCACCTGCCTCCTTAACAGTGAAGTGATGAGTTTGGGTCGATGATGGAAAAAGACGACTCGGGTTGGTGGGGGAGTAGGCGGAGTTAAGGGTCCCGCGGGAAGACTCTGACGTGGAGCTGCTCTTACTCTTCATCCTCTTCTTCCTCCATCTCCTCCCTTCCTGCCGGCCCCCCAGGGTGTGACGTTCCGCGTGGAGGGCGGCGAGCTGGTGATCGCGCGCATCCTACACGGGGGCATGGTGGCCCAGCAAGGCCTGCTGCACGTGGGTGACATCATCAAGGAGGTGAACGGGCAGCCGGTGGGCAGCGACCCCCGCGCGCTGCAGGAGCTCCTGCGCAGCGCCAGCGGCAGCGTCATCCTCAAGATCCTGCCCAGCTACCAGGAGCCCCATCTGCCGCGCCAGGTGGGCCCCTCTGCCCAGCCGCCAGGCTCAAGGTGGTTGGCCTACTGCAGCCCACGTGGCCACGGCAAACTAGGGAGCCAGCTCTGCGGGCCTCCGCGCGAGGCGCTCGTGGCCGAGCCCTCTTGAGTCCGCGTGCCATTCCTGGGCACGCGTCCGCGGCCAGGGAACCCAGAAGGTACAAGTGCGGAGTGTGTGGCCCTAGGGTGAGGTTGCCTAGTGACCTGGGCTGTCGCCTTCTGGTTGGTGAACTCCGGGGTGGGGTGGGTGGGTGGATCTGGCTGTTCCGCCCCCCTCTCTGATTGGCTAGCCGTCTGCCAAGCGGGGCTGGACGTGGCTCTGGTGGCGGACCAGAGAGCCCGCCTCCTCAGGGGGCGGGGCCGGGCCCTAGGTCCGCCTGGAGTCTCCAGTTCTCTGAATCCCTTTGTTCGAGAGCCCAAGGGAGACTGGTACCAGGGAGGGGCGTCCGGCCTGCTTGGGGGCGGCACTCCTCTAGCAAGACAATGCTAAGCCCTCTTCTCTGTGGGGGGATGGGGAGAGGGTCGGCTGACACCTCCACCCCAGGCCACTGGCTTCTCCAGCCTGCCCCCCGCGCCTTCCCGTGACCCTTTGCTAATCCCTGTGCCCAGGTGTTTGTGAAGTGTCACTTCGACTACGACCCGGCCCGGGACAGCCTCATCCCCTGCAAGGAGGCGGGTCTGCGCTTCAGCGCCGGCGCCCTGCTGCAGATTGTTAACCAGGACGACGCCAACTGGTGGCAGGTGAGCCCTTGGCAGCCCTGGGGGGGGCTCCAGGTGTGCTGTGGGGAAGGTGAGGGCCGGCCCGAAAGCTCGCCCTGCCTCCTGTCTCCTTCAGGCATGCCACGTGGAGGGAGGCAGCGCGGGGCTCATCCCCAGCCAGCTGCTGGAGGAGAAGCGGAAAGCCTTTGTCAAGCGGGACGTGGAGTTGACACCGACCTCAGGTTCGAGGCCCCTTCCCACCAGACCCCCCTCCCTGCAATCAGACCTGTCGCGACCTGCCTGGTCTCATCCGCCCATCTCCCTGTGACTAGGCACGCTGTGCGGCAGCCTTTCAGGAAAGAAAAAGAAGCGAATGATGTATCTGACCACCAAGAATGCGGGTGGGTGTCAGCTGTCCCCCTCACCTCCCAGCCCCCTTTATACGGCATGGCACCCGTCCCCCAGGACTGCATTTTGTATGCTATCTGAGCTCAGACACCGCCCAGGTGTCCCCGGGCCCCGCCCCCTCCTCCTCCCCTCCCGGAGCCCGGGGCTCTCGGCCTAGCCCCGCCCCCGGACGCGACCTGGGGTCTCTCTCCCCTTTCCAGAGTTTGACCGCCACGAGCTGCTGATCTACGAGGAGGTGGCTCGCATGCCCCCTTTCCGCCGGAAAACCCTGGTGCTGATCGGGGCGCAAGGCGTGGGCCGACGCAGCCTGAAGAACAAGCTCATCATGTGGAACGCGGACCGCTATGGCACCACTGTGCCCTGTGAGTGGGCGCCCGCCGCCTGGGCTCGGCAGGGGCAGGGCCAACACCGCTTGGCACCCCTGTGTGTGAGATGTTGGGCACAGGCTTTGATCTAGGGCAGCGGTTCTCAACCTGTGGGTCGCGACCCCGTTGGGGGTGGAACGACCCTTTCACAGGGGTTGCACGATTCATAACAGTAGCAAAATGACAGTGATGAAGTAGCAAAGAAAAGGTTGGGGGTCACCACCACATGAGGAACTGTATGAAAGGGTCGCAGCATTAGGAAGGTGGAGAACCACTGGTCTAGGGCCTTACAGGGCTCTGAAGGGCAGGAGACAAGTGTGGGGAGAGGGGACACGTGAGCCAGGCTGCCTGGGCTCCACTCCCATCCCCACCAGGCATTTAGTTCATCTTTCTGTGCCTTAGTTTGAGGGTCTTGGGGGCACAGCGGTGAAGCACTCAACCGCTAACTGGAAGATCACCGCTTTGCCCTCACCAGCTGCTCCTCGAAGAAAGATGTGGCTTCCATGGGACAGCCTGGTAACTCTGGGGCAATGCTGAGCGTCCAGGAAGGGGATGAGTAGTGTCACGATGGGAAAGGCCAGAGTGGGGAGCACAGGAGGAAGAGAATGTCATTTCCCCCAGGGAGGGAATGATGGACGCTTAGGAGGGGAAGGGGTGGAGGGGCACAGGGCCTGGATGACAGAGAAATGGAGTTCAGACACGCCTGCGCCCTCTGTGGGCGAATGGGAGAACTGCATGATCAGGAGAGGTTAGGAAGGTGTCCTGTCCACAGGTGGCCCTGGGTCTGGGCTGACCTCGCCTCCCTTCTCTCCCATTTCACTTGCTCAAAGTGTGTCCGCTGGCGGCTCAGGTGAAGTGAGGTTGTGACCTGTATGGGGTCTTGTGGAAGATGACACAGCTTGGTGACATACCCATCTGAGTGGTAGGAGCTGTGAGTTCCTGGGGACTTTGCTGTGTGACTTTGGGCTGCACACTGCCCTCTCTGGGCCTCAGCCCCCATCTTTGAGCAGTGGGTTGGACCAGGTGATCTCTGAGGGTCTTCTCAACATGGACTTCCGTGATCCTGGATGTCCTGGTGATAGGGCAAAGGCAGCTGTTTGGGGAAGATGTTGGGTAGGCCCTAGCCCAAGCTGAAGGATGTATGTAGACGTGTGTCTCTGAGAACACGTGCCCTCTTCTTAGACACGTCCCGGCGGCCCAAGGACTCGGAGCGGGAAGGCCAGGGTTACAGCTTTGTGTCCCGGGCTGAGATGGAGTCGGACATCCGAGCGGGGCGTTACCTGGAGCATGGCGAGTATGAGGGGAACCTGTATGGCACCCGGATCGACTCCATCCGGGGCGTGGTTGCTGCCGGCAAGGTGTGCGTGTTGGACGTCAACCCCCAGGTACTGCCCTGACGACGCCTGCCCAGCCTGCCCAGGGTCCTCTCCCAGCCCTCTGCTGCCCCACCTGTCCCATCTTCTTCCAGCTCTTGTCCTCCATGTAGATTGCCCAGCCTCCTGAACCTCACTTAGCCACTCAACTCCCCACTTCCTTCTCTAGGCTGCTCCAGGGACCCCGCCTTCTCCCACCCATCGCCAAGACTCATGTTCCCAGCCCTTAGCTCCCTCATCCATCCTCAGGCACCCCATTATCACCCAAGAGAGCCTTCTCAGGTATACATGGGGACCTGCTCTCTGACACATACCCCCCTTCTCCTGCAGGCAGTGAAGGTATTGAGGACAGCCGAGTTTGTCCCTTATGTGGTGTTCATCGAGGCCCCCGACTATGAGACCCTGCGGGCCATGAACCGGGCTGCGCTGGACAGTGGGGTATCCACCAAGCAGCTCACGGTGAGGGTGGTCTGCAGTGCCGTTGGGGGTGGGAGGGAGGACTGGTGGCAGCCTGGGTGGCAGGGGGAGGGCTCAGCTGATGAAGAGGAGGAGTTGGCTCCATGGAAGGGGGAGGGTTTTGATGAATGCCTGCCCAACTTGTCCCTGAGGGGCCAGAGGCTCACAGGGAATCAGGCACGCAGCTGCTCTGACTAGACCGTCCGAGGGGCAGAGGCGGGGTTAGCTGGGGAAAAGCTGTGGGTAGGAGGAAGCTGGAGGCAGGACTGCCGGCTCGAGGGATGTGTTAGCATCTGGGAGGGTGCCTGGCCCCGGAGAGGTTTCAAGTCCCTGTGTTACATGACTCCAGTATACCGGGGATTTGGGCCTCGCTGAGGTTCTCTACTGGCCACTCCGAAAGAGAAAGATGAGGCTTTCTACTCTCATAGAGATTTACAACCTCTGAAAACCGCAGAGGCAGTGCTCTGTCCTACAGGGTCCACTGTGAGTTCAAATCACCTCCCAGAAGGTGCAATGCTGAGCTCAGGGCCCATCTGCTGGCGGTACCTGGTACTGCAGGTCTCGCTTCCCGAGCCTGGCTATGGCCCTCTGTTTGCGGGACCAGAGGTATGTACCATGGTCTGAGCTTTCCCTTGTGGGCACCTCAGCCCTGGAAACAAACCCAGGAGACTGGGGCCTTTGGGAAGCAGCTGGACCGGCTCTAGAACTCCGGCTTCAACTTGTTTAATTCAGCTGCCTGGACAGTTGCATCTGGGTCTGGGGTAGGAGTAGGGGCATTGTGTGGCCACGGGGGTGCTCTGGGGGTCCTGACCAAGGTCCCCGTGTGCCGAGGCAGGAGACAGACCTGAGGCGGACGGTGGAAGAGAGCAGCCGAATCCAGAGGGGCTACGGGCACTACTTCGACCTCAGCCTGGTCAACAGCAACCTGGAGAGGACCTTCCGAGGCCTCCAGGCAGCCCTGGAGAAGCTGCGCACGGAGCCCCAGTGGGTGCCCGTTAGCTGGGTGTACTGAGCCCTGATCTGTGGGCTGTCACCCCGGGACCTGAGCCCACCTCCTCCCACAATCCTGACCCCTCCCTGGCTCTCCCCATGTCTGGCTTCAGTGTGGATTCGTGCACTGCCAGGGGTGGGCATTCATGGGGCACCTCTGTGTCCAGGTGCTGCCCACTCCCCATGCCCATCGTCTACCAGGTGTCCCTCTCTGGATGTGTCTGGCTCACCTTGATCCTGCTCAGAGAAGACATAAGCTGAGAGGGCCCTGGGTTTACTGCCCCCTGCTGGCCACCCCCTTCAGGCGCCTTGTCTCCTCTGGACGGGGTGCACCCTCCCCACTCCTGCCCCCACTCCCACCCCAGGGCCCGAGGACCAGGCTTAGGGCAGCATCCGAGTGGTCAGGAGTGCGCGTGGTCCACTGGCAGCCAGGCAGTCCTGGACGCCTGGTGCCTACCTGGTGCCGGCCTGAAACCTGTGGAGGAGCCGACTCATAAGCCGGCTGCCAGGTTCTGAGGCCCGGCACTGGGCTCCCTCAGAGCGGGCAGAAGTCCTAGGGGTGGGCACTGCCCTGTCCCGTCCTTATCCACAGCTTTTCACTGCCGATGTCGCTGCAGACTTCTCCGCTGTGCCCCTGCCTGTCAGCCCCGCCCCTGCAGGGCAAGGCAGGCAGGGACCTGCAGGTCAGCCCAGGGGGGACACATCTAAGGCCCTCCGGGTCTTTTCTCAGGCCTGCTCTGGCCTCCTGACCCTGAGGGGCAGAGGTGGGGTGCCGAGGGGACCGTGTGTGTTGGTCCCGGAGTGCAAGATTGGAGAAGTTAGTGTATTAGCTGACTCCTCACTGCCCACCCCCCTGGGGCACCCTTCACCTGTCAGCTCCCAGGGCCCCTGGGCCTGTGTTTCTGGCACAGCTGGGGGTGGGAGTGGGGGGCAGGCCAGGTTTGGAGGAGGGGAACCAGTGGGTTATTGTGCTTTGGAGTCCCTCTTTGGGCTGCTCCCCACCACCACCTCTGTTTCTTAGAAGACCCTTCCCCCAGATGCCAGGGCCTTGGCCCTCCCCAGACCCTCCTTTCCTGTTGCCCCTCTATCCTAAACGCCACCCCCACTCCCTGGGGAGGCCAGTTTTGTAAAATAGGAGATCCCCCTTCCACGATGGGGCCCAGGACCCGCCCCTCCATCTCCCGGCCTCATCCTTCCTTCCGTGTCCCCTCTCCTCCCACAGGGGGCCCCCCTGCCCCGCACCTCCACTCCACCCCCGTGTGCCCGCGCTCCTGTATCTGAGCAGTCCTCGCTGCAGCGTCAGCCCTTGCTGGCCCCTGAACCACTGTGTGCCCATTTCCTAGGGGAGGGGAGGGAGAAGAAACAATATTTATTACAAATCTTAGAAATATATTTATGATATTAGGAATCTCATTTGCATCTGCGTAGTATATGCAAACGAGATGCCAAGCCTCTGCACACAGGATGCAGGCGGCTCTTGGCTCCTCATCCGTCCCCATTAGGCAGGCTCTTTTTTGTCCTCCGTTGGGCCAAGGGTTGAGAGTGAGGGCAGGTGGGTGGTGGTCCTGCTCCGTTTCCTCTGCCAGGCCCCTCCTCTCCCGGGACTTGGGAGTAGAGATAGGAAGGGTCTGCTGTCTCAGCCACCTTATTGTTCACCCTTCAGGTTCACCTGCCAGTGAACCTCCCGGCAGCCATGCCCTCTGACCCAGGTCTCACAGACAGTGCCCAGGCAGTGGTGCCCTGTGGGGAGCTGGCCCCTGGCTCTTTTGTAAGTCTCTCTGGTGATGCCCTAGGGGGCAGGCGGCCGCTCCTCTCCAGCCTCCTTGCCACCAGCCAGTCCTCCCTCTCTGCACCGCTTCCCTCCAGCCGGAGCCCCAGAGCCCATTCCAGACACTTGCCAAGTGTGGGCCACGGGCGGACCCTGGCCTGGGCTGGGTGGACCTGCGTGTGCCCGCTGCATTGTCTCTGTGGCTCTGTGCTCCGCCCACCCCCCACACACTGTCTGCACTGCCACCCTGCTGCCGCATCAAGTGGATGCCCGGGATAAGGAGGACCCTGCCGCCATTTCCCAGACCCTGTCCCTGCCCCCCCCCC